AAATTGTTGATCGTCGCCGTTGGCCAATCAAAATCGAGGATTAACCGCGCATTTTTTGTGCGGCAGCTAGGTTTAATCCTCTAGTATGTGCAGATCATCAGCCAATCACAATTTAGTCAGGTGCCGGACAGACGGAGTTTTACTTGTACATATAGGTCCTCGCTACGCTTCGGACAATAAAGTTTGGGTAAGGTTTTTTGGGATGCTGAACATTTTTACTTAAACATACGACCTTGGTTATTTAGACAGTTTTTGAGATATAGCAACTGTGATGTTAAACACCACTGGTATAATTTAACAATGCAGAATTCATTTTATTAAATCGTATAATATATGATTAAAATCATTTATCAATATATTATATTGATAAATGATTTTAATCTTCATATATAAATAATTTTGGTAATTATGCTTAAATTTATATCAATATCGTTTTTACGTACAGAATGCTTGTTGTGGCTGAAGCTAAAAATTTTAATATATTATCTTGTTTTTTAGAAATATTGTACAAGTAGATTTTGGTAGGTTTCGAATTTCTAAATCGAGGTCTTTATTTTCAGCTTTAGCTATAAAAATCCTTAACCTAATAATTATAATCTTCAACTCTAACTCCTTCACAAGTTTTTCTTAGTCCACTCGATCAAAACATTGTTGGTTTTATAGCAAGCATAGAACTTAGTTCAATAAAGTTTAGACATTTATGTTGAATAATTAAAAAGAGAAGTTAATATTCTTTATAAATATGTTATAAGTAGGAACGGAAATTTAAATGGACTTTGGATTCCTTAATAAAAATAATTTTAGAGTATATACATAAAATCTATTTTGTAGAAACCTACACCCTAACTCTAAAATGCTAGGAATTTCAAATTTCCAAATCTACTTAAATTCCGTTTCCATTTACGACATATATATTGGATAAGTAAAGAGTGAAAAAATAAAAGATATAAAAATAAAAAGTGACAGTCTCCACCATATAGCATACAGGTACAGGAAATAGATGAACGGCTCATATCAATGACTAAAACGACCCAAATGACAAATGACTAGTCATTTGTCATTTCAAAGCTCAAATGACCTTAGAAGGTCATTTAACATTAACGTTAATATTCTAATATATTTTAACCAATCAGAATTGGTCTCCAAGCAAAATTAAAATTTAATCAATAATCGTAGCTATATATCAAAATCTAAATTTTACTAAATCAATTTAATATTTATAAAGTTGTTCAGGATAATAAATCGCATATGTTCTGAAATTTTTATAAATTGAATAAATTTTTATTAATTCACTTTCACATTTTATGTTTATATAAAAAATTTTTTAATTTTTATATAAACGTAATATGCGAAAGTGAATTAATAAAAAGGTATTCAATTTGCATGAAAATTTCAGAATACACGCAGTTAATAATCTTGAATAGCTTTACTTTAGGCATAAACATTAATTGACAATAAAATTTTAATTTTAATATATAGCTATGATTATGATTAGAACGATAACTTTTTTATGAGTAATTCAACCAATAAAATTACTTTATATGCAAATGACCCAAATGACCTAAATGACAGGCATTATTTGATGACTTAAGGTAATTTGAATTTTGATCAAATGACCAGGTCATTACCATCCCTGGCTCATATAGCACACATATACAGAAAATAGATGAACGGCTCATATAGCGTACAGTTGCCTGAAAAAATAAAGAAAAAAAAAACATAAAAGTATAAAAATACAAAGTATCTGCTTTATTCTTACCATACAGCCCGTACAATTTATAGTCGGCCTGAAAGAAAGTGGGAAAAAATAATCACAAGAATAAATGAGGGGTTCAATATACATACTTTAAGTTGTTACAGTTACTGCTATTGCTGTTATTGTTGTTGAGGAGAAGCAGGAGTACCAAAGATAAAAACAGAAAGATAGGCTAATTCGAAAGATACGAGAAAATTCATGTTATACCATCCACTTATTTTTCTCGGATACTCGAAAACTATCGTTTAAACAGACTTGATGTACTAATTAAAATAACTGAAATAAGTTTTACATATATATAGCAGTAATAGTTTGCTTTTATAGCACCTAAAGCAAACTTTCTAACCTTAGATTTCTACTTTCACGACCTAGTTTATTTCTATTAAGTTCCTTTTCGGGAAAATAAGGAAGCTTGGCATGAGAAATAAGTTTCGGCCGGAAACCTGCGGATTTTGTGATTTTTTATGCATATAATCTTTTTTTAAATGCATATTCCTTAGAAATCGAAAAATCTGGTTTTGACATCCAACACAATCCGGTGTTCTTTTGATTGGGGTAGTTCTGAGGTTTGGTGATCTGTAGAGATAAAATTCAGTAATACCTAAAGTAACTGACCGCAAACTAGTGTTACAAATCGGCAAAATTTTTTCAATCGATTAGCTGGTTAATTATTTTTCAGTTGGTTGCAACTAATCGGTGAATTGCAACTGATCGATTAATCGATTAGTTGCAACTAATTCATTAAGTAGATAATTTTTCAATCGATTCTCTGCAGCAAATTTAACCGTCATATTACACAAACGCGTAAACATGCATGTTTTTTTACACAAATTACAAATATAGACACGCGGCGTTACATATGGAAAATGCCGAAATTACGTTTTTGATATTTTTATTTTCATAAATTCTGGGACAACGATAAAAATTGACCGATGATCATTCGGTCGATCTGTGTTATCGGAATTCTCATAAATTCTGGAAAATTTGGCAAAAGTTGACACCGAATATTTGCCAAATTTTCCAGAATTTATGAGAACAGCTGTAAATGTCGAAAATCCAATGTCGATTATACCGAATTCAAAACTTATCAGTTATCGAATTCGGCCGAAATGATTTTTATCAGTTGTCCCAGAATGTATGAGAACAGTTGTAAATACGACAAAATAATTTATTGTAGCAAAATAAGTCAATATTTAATATTTTATTTTTCAGTCATTCGGCTTTTTTTTTTTGCATTTATAATAAGATTATACTGTATTTAATCTAAAATAACAACCGAATCAAGTTCAGTTATTTATATTTATCATGTTAATAAAATTTCAATCTGCGAAACATTAACAATAATCGGTTTATTTCTTTCCCTAATTACTATAGTATAAAAATTTAATGTTCTTTTTAAACCTCCAAAGGTGTTGTATTATATTTAAAAAGAAATCTATTAAAAAATTGAATGTGACAACTCTAAAATTATTGTCAAAAGCCGTACAAAACTGCTAATGAAATTATAAACATTTACATAGAAATTAAAAAAAAAAATAATGATATAATAATTTCTCTTAAATTTAATTGGAAATGAGTTATGGCTTATTTTTGAACTATTCAAATTCAGGAAAAAATATATTCGTAACAGCTGCTACATGTACCTAGTAGTTAGCCAATCATTTTTAGTTTTAGAGTTGGTTACATGTATTTTTATTGGTTGTACTAAGTAAGCTGTTATATAACAGCCTGTTACAAATAGATTTGTCCTCTATTAAAATAGTAATGCATCGATTCCACCTTCGGCTGCTTGTTCCTGTTACATAAAAAATTGATATGTCAAGCTCATAATAGTTATTGATTTAAATAAATTGGATCAAAGATATTAATTAAACAAACCTTAACAAACATTTCGAAATATGAGTATATAATTGTGACTGCAAGCAGTATACCGGTACCAGAGCCAAGTGCGCCTGCAAACGATAAAGACAACAAATCAGAAAGTTGGCCTTTATTAATATTAATTATAACAAAAAAAAAAAAAAACTTACCTAACAAATCAGCAAGAACCGACAATGCACCAATACAAGCTCCGCCAAAAGCTGCGGCTGTTGGGATGATACGCTTCAACTCTTTGTATGTTGAGGTTTCACGATGGCCAGCCATTACCATACCCTGTTCCTTAAGTTGTTTTGCTACTTCACGTGGAGAAGATCCAGAGACCTCAATCCATGTTTTTGAAAAGAGTGCACATGCAGTCAACATGAATGCGACATATACAACGGTATGAATAGGATCCAGAAGTGCGTCTTTAATACTATGGGGTGGTGACATGAAATAAGCTAGACCGCCTGACGCAAATAATTGGGAAGAACCTTCGTACGGCTGTATAAAAACAAGATTATTTTAAATATTATATAACAACAATGCGCATATGAGTTAAAATTTAATAATAGTGTACATACAGTCCAGACACCAAGAAGACGAATAAGAAGATTATCTGGGAATCGGGTGTACAACATTTGTGAGATAAGGAAAACGTTTGTGGTAAGGGCTGATTGAAGCATAATTGGCATGTTTGAGGTATAAAAAAGCTTAATCGGATAAGTTCCCCGTTGACCACGGAATCGATTAGATTTAACAGGAAGTTCAACACGGAAACCTTGAAGGTAAATGACGATGCCAAAAACAACCACTGTTGCCAATAGGTTCATAACGTTTGGCAAATTTGTTCGATAAAAGGCTTCCTTTAAAGCGCGAATTTTGTCATTACGAGTAATAACCAAATAGAACAAAGCAATGATAGCTCCTTCAAATTCAGGACCTCGTCCAGTGTTGACAGTAGTAGGACTGAACGCTTTCCAAACGATAGATTCACAAATGTTGGTAGCAATGAAGAGTGAAATACCAGAACCGAGACCATAACCTTTTTGCAAGAGTTCGTCTAAAAGCATAGAAATAAGGCCTGCAAAGACGAGTTGGATGATAAGTAGCAAACAGACTCCAGCACCGATTTCAGAAGGATCACCGTACAATCCGGTCATTACGGATACCGTGGCTTGGCCAAAAGCAAATACCATAGCGAAAAGCTTTTGAGCGCCGCTAAATAAAGCACGATCCTCTTTCAAGCTGAAATCAACCTCAATGAGGTTAGCACCGGCAAGAAGTTGCATTATCATGCCCGAAGTTACAATGGGTGTAATACCGAGTTCCATCAAAGTACCCCTGTTTGAAGCGAGAATGACACGAAGCCAATACAAAGGATCTGATGAATCAGAGGACATGATACCGTATAATGGAATTTGTGAGCACACAAGAAAGATAAAAAGTGTGACCGCCGTCCATAATACTTTTTGACGGAAAGGAACCTATAAAGGTAATTGATGTTATCTAGATCTTTTCATGATGCATAAAATGAAAACTGAAGCTAAAGCATTGAGAAGTATACCTTTCTGTCTGGTGCTGTGACCTCTGGAAGTATGGCTATAAATGGTCGGATGAGATTTAGGAATCGGACTATGAAAGGACATTTGAATTGCTTAGTGATTTGACGCCTTTAAAATAATGTAGTTGTCACTAATACAAAAAAATTATTAACACATACAACCCATTGGAATCAGTTAGCCAGAAAACAAAAAACCGTAGTTAAAGAATGAGTGGTGGAATTTGGAATCAGAAACGAAGAAAAAATTAGTCTTATATGTACATAAAAAATTCTCAAACTGAATCTAATCTTTAGAACCAATTAAATTTATCCACGATTTTATTTGTATCTTATCCTATAATTAGATTTGATCAGTTACACGTAATATTCTTCAATTGTTGATTTGTCCTTCAATCTTTCAATTAGTTAAACAAATGGCACCTTCTCCTCAGTTTATAGTCGGATCGCCCATCAATAGGGGACAAGGATCTGGTAGCAACAATAATGGCAACTTTTTCACCCGCTTCCTTCGCGATGAGATCTTTGCACCAGAAAAACGTCAGGGTAACTTAGACATTATAGTCTCGGTCGGCGTATTCGTTGCAACCATTGCATTTTTGCAAAATTACCCCGATCTAGTTTCTTGCGGACTTTAAGAAAGATTTGAACTAGAGGTCTGATCCGATCGAGAAAAAAAAAATCTGGATATTCATATGTTCAATTTTTTTAACATCCGGATATTAAAAAACGGATAACTTTATTGAATATTCGAATATCTAATGTTAAATTTGCTGAATTAAACTTTTATAATCCACGTGCTGATTTGTATTTATTTTTTATCTTTATATTTAAAGATAGGTATAATATAAGAAGTTGTATAGCATTATATCAAATATATAATAAAAGTGGTTATACTTGTTTGAAATATTTATGCATAAATGAAATTTAAGATTATTTTCTGATATTAATATAATTATAGTTATATAATATTTAAATCTTTCTTGGTATAATAATGATTGTATATACATAATTGAAACTATTTGGGCTTATATAAAACTACTTACAACTATAGATGCTGGTAAATAGTGGTGAAAATGGTTAATACAGTATAACAAGCCAATTAGATTTTAGAGAGTTATTAGTTTTAGGCAATTTTATTGAACCGTTTTTCTAAGCGGTTAGGTTGTTCAGTGATTAAAAATTGGCAAAGGTTATAGGCAAAATTACTTTTTCGATATTTTTTATTAGTGCCCAAGAGATGTTTGGACACTTTTTTTTTGCTTTGTCTAAGCGGAGTATAATCACGTGATATCTGACCAACAAATTATGATTGCAAAACAAGAAATAAAAACGAAAACTAAAAACGGCAGTCTAAATCTACCTCAGGTGGATTAATCAACAATGTCGGGAAGGCAATTTTGCTTTACAGTATATAACTACCTAAACCCTAATATAAGATGACCCTAACCCTAAAGTTAATTCAATAAAATATACATACCGATACGTATTATAAGGACGTTTTCCAAATAAGGAAATTTGAAAAAAATGGTCGGTAAAATTGGGATTAGTTTTACTAGCATTCTTTAGTTTACAGTACAAGCGACCTCTTGGTCTAATATTGTTAACCTCTAATTAAGCATCATGTGATATTAAGCAGTAATGTAGTCGAGGGGAGACAGTTATCGGTTACACAAATTGCAGATCATTCACGAAAATCTCCGAGAAGTGGATAGCCAATCA